TCAATGTCTCCTGTTTAAAACGTGAGGGGGGGGCAGAACTGGACGTAGCAGCAGCAGCAGCCGCCCAGGGCAAGGGGGGGAGGGCAGGGAGCATGGCCCAGAGGCCGTTTCAACCTTTCCCATCCCTCAGGGACCCAGAGAGCATAGCGGCGGAGCAGAAGCAAAACTCCCTCCTTGAACTATGGAGACCAGAACTCAGGGACGTTTCTGCCCTCCTGCTACAGCCCCGATGGCTCGAGAGGCAACCTGTAGCCTCAGCCCTGAGCCACGTCATGTCCTTAACGACAGCTGTGGGGTTTCTACCCCAAAGGACCACCCCTTCCAGGCAAATGGCCCTCCTGCTCCAGCACCACGGGGGCCTTTTTCCCCCTCTGCCATGGCTTGTACACCGGAGGGGTAGATGCAAAGCTCTGCTCCCACCAGAGGCCCGGCTCAGGCTGCAGCATCCCGGCTCAGGCCTCCTACCAGGGGCAACATCTGCACGTCCAGCGGGAACCCCTCCGGGCTGCCCACTCCGGCCCCAAAGCCAAGGGCGGCTCCAACTTGGCACCCAGGGAACCTGCCCAGCCTGGAGACGGGAGCACAGCCGCCATGCAGAGTGGGGGGGGGGGGGGGGGCGTCAGGTAGGCGCAGGGCTGCTCCCTTCCGAGGTGCCCGGTGCCCCCCTGGTCCCCAGCAGAGACGCCTCCGGGGATGCGGCTGGACCACAACCTTCCATTCCGGGAATTCAGAGGCCGGGTCTGCCCTGCCCCCGTTCCCCCCCCCCCCTCAGAGAGCGGGGCAGAGCAACGGGGAGGCTGGGGAGGGAGGGAGGGGCTCGGGGGCATCGCACCCTTCCAAGCGGGGACCCCGGGCTCCCATTCCCGCCGCCCCCGCCCCAAGCTCTCCGAGGGTGGGAAGCGGAGAGCCCGGAGCAGCTGGAGCGAGCGAGCCGCGCGGAGCTGACGGCGGCGAAGTTGCCTGGCCGGGATCCCCGGGCCGCCCAGCCTGCAGCCCCTTCAACGCGCCGAAAGCCAGAGCGGCCGCCCGGAATCCTTCCCCGCCGCTGGGCGGTCTAAGCGGTGGGCTCTCCGGGGCTGCCGCCGGGGCTCCTCTCCTCCTCCCTCCCGCCCTCTCTCCCCTTCGGGGCCGCCGGAGGAGGGAGGCTCGCGCCGCGCCCCCGCCCTGCCCCGCCCGCCCCCCGCGAGGGAGCCCCGGGGGTCCCGCCAGCCGCGCCCTCCGCAGCCCCGCAGCTCCCGCCGGGCCCGCCGGCCGCTCACCCAGCGCCAGGAGGAGACCGAGGAGGAGGAGGCCGGCGCGGGCCATGGCGGGGCGGGCGGTCTCTCGGCGGAGCGTCGGAGGAGCCTCGGTCTCCCTCAGCCGCTGCCAGGCGGAGGCGGCGCCCTCCTGGACTGCCCGGGCAGCATCGCGGCGGCGGATCGACGGCCAGGCGGCTCCGGCGAAGAGGCGTCCGACGGCCGTCCCGAAACGCGGCGGGCAGGGCGGGACGCGGCGCCTGGCAGCCCCCGGGCGGCAACTGCGGGGCTCGGGCCGGGCGGGCGGGCGGGGCGGCCCTTTTGTGGCGGGGGGGGGCCCCCCGCGGGGGCGGGGCGAGGGCGGAGGGGGGTCCGCGCCGTCCAAGGGCGGCCGCTCCCTGCGCCCTCTGCCGCCGCCGAAGCGCCCCGGGCGACGGGCGGGGCGAGCGGGAGCGGCGCGGCTTCCCCCGCCTCAGCCGCGAGCCCCGCCGGCTCTGCCCGCCTCCCCCCGAGGGGGCCGCTGGGGAGGGCGGCGGAGGGGCGCGCGAGCCCCCCGCCAAGGGCGCAGGGGACGGGGGGGGCGACAGGCGACAGCTCTGCCCGCGGCCTCGCCTCTCTGCCCCTTCCTTCGGGCGGGCGGAGGCTCTCGGGGGGTCCGCCCTGGCTAGGCCTCTGCGGCGCCGGAGTTCGGAGTGGTTTTGAACCCGAGAATCCTGGGGCTGGACGGGACCTCGGAGGTCCTCTAGTCCAGCCCGGTCACTCCCCCCTCCACCAATGGCTGTCTTCTCTCTTCTTGAAGCACCCCCACAGCTTCTGGCTGGAAGCCCCTCCCTGGTTCCTTGTCCTGGCTGTCGGAGCTGCTTCCCCCACTCCTGGCTTTGCTTCTCCTCCTGCCTTCCGGGCCTCGGGCAGCCCCTCCATTCGGAAGACGGCCCTCGGGTCAGTCAGCAAGGGAGGAGCAGAAGTTCCAACCTCCACATAGTGAAAGGATAAATGTGGGTAAAGATAAATGTTTATCAACTAAACTGGGAGCAGAAAACAAAAGAAAGCAAGGTTTCCTGTAAGGGTCCTGACACCCTCACGCTCCCCTTCCTCAACTCCCTTCTCCCGTCTGCAACAGGGGAAAGAATGCCTGCCTGTCTCTCTTTACCACCCTCAACATCAGCAGCCCCAAAATGAAGGAAACCCACCTGAGGCTCTGGAAAGCTCTTCCCGATTCTACACTAGCCAGCAATGAGCCCCGTCCAGCACTTCTGCACGTAAAACTCAGAGTCCGACTAGATACGAATCCCTTGCCATATTTTACAAATAGAATATTTAAATGCCGCCCATTACCTCAGCCACTTTGAGCAGCTCAACCAAAAAGTGATAGATAAAAGCAAAACATATAGAACGCTAACTTTAAAACCCTCCACCACTTCAAAAGGCAACCAGCATCCGATTAACTCCTCCCAAATTCTAACGTTTCACTGTATATATATATATGTCTTCATTCAATAAATGTAAAGGCTGCCCAACTCCAGAGGACTCTGGGAGGTTCATATTATAAACGTAAGAACAAGAAAATAAAAAAAGTCTTTCAGAGGGAAAATCACAACCACCCCAAAAAATCTGGCAGGAGCCCAGCAATCACATACATGTATTTGGATATTATCAGTATATTGAGGATAATTAGCTTTTAAAATACAGGTCCTCCCAAGGAACTTCACACATGGAAAGGGTGAAATATTATTGGAGTTTAATTCAATTCAAATCCGTACAGCATGTGCTGCTGTTGGTGGGGCTTGGCATGACGCTTTCCTTCCTTCCTCCCGCCCTTCCTTCCTTCCTTCCTTCCTTCCTTCCAAAAACGGCGGTGGGGAGGGAAAGAGGCTACTCCACGGGGTAGGCGACAGCTGCAGAGAGCTTTGCAGCTGGAACCTGAAATGTGCCCAGGCAATTTTTTTTCCTGTTCCTTGTCTGTAAGCAGAAGGGAGGCAAGGGGTTGGACTAGAAGACCTCCAAGGTCCCTTCCAGCCCTAAGATTCTATGATTCAGGCTCAGTTTCTCACTTGACTGAGGAAGGCAAGTCCCATCCCTTGCCAGGCTGGGACTCTCCTCTAGACAGCCCCCCAGATGTAATTGGGCAGAACCCCCCCACCACCCTCGTCAGAAGCTGGGGGCAAGGGGGAATGTGCCTGGTAAGAGAAGATGCAGACTTTTCAACCCGCGCACACACAGGGACACCAGGGAATCCACAGCTTTGGAACCACTGTGCCATTTTGTTAATCGGGTGTTAATTGCTTTCTTAATCCTGCTCAGCTGTTTTCATTAAGGAACGTTAATATTTATGGCTGGGTTTTTTCATCCGCATTCTTGCATATGCTACATAAATGCTAAAACATGCTATTAAACCAAACGTTCACATGAAAAAACATGCAAAACTGTAAAACATGAATAAAAACAAAGCATAAAAAGGTTGCAGGAGGAAAAATGACCTAACATCCTGCAACTATCCTACGGTCTCTCCATGGGATCCCCAGCATGGCTGGAAAAACCCCTTTTCAAGGAAGGCTAAGGGGGCAGGGCTAAGGGGAGCTCAGGTGTCACCTAGTGGTACCTGGAGACAGCAGAAGAGAAGGGGGCGGGAGATAACAAAATATAAAGACCCGCAAATAGAAGTAGAAGCACTGTGGCCAGAGGCGGTGCCAATAGCCACAGGGGGGCCAACACACGGAGTCATCACGCGAACACCACCAGTATTGGCAAAATCCCCAACAGGGATGCCCCTTTGCTCCGAACCCTCCTCCTTATCCAAGTGCCCCGGGGGACTCTTGGTCTCTTGCGCTTCAACTCCTGGTCCTCAGTTCAGGCTTGTTCTTCCTTCCCTCTCACGGAGCCCTTTGGAAGAAAGAGGAAGGGGGGGGGTCTTAGCTGCCCTCCCCACGGCTGGTTAAGTCGGTTCTCCTTGGTTTAAGCCACCCCCCCCGCCCCCCCCCCGGTGGGCTGAGTGGGCCTGCAGAAGCACAGCTGCGAACAAGCTCCGTCCGAGGCCCAGGACTCTTCAATCTCTTCATTCACGACTTAGATGGGGGGCGGGGTAAGAAGGGGAACTTATCACATTTGCAGATGATACTAAGCTGGCAGGAAGAGCCAGCACCCTGGATGATAGGCTCAAGATCCAGATAGATCTTGACAGACTTGAACCCTGGGCCCGCTCTAACAAAACGCAATTCAACGTAGAGAAAAGTCTTACACCTAGGCAAGAAAAACAAATATACAGGTGAAACCCGGCTTCATAGCCGTTTTGTGTAGCCAGGCTGTCCTTTTTCTTTTTGCATCTCCTTCTTCAGGACCTACATGCTTTTTCACCTCCCCCCCCCCCCCCCCCCCCCCCCCGCCCCCCCAGCAGTTTCTCATGCCAGGGGCTCCTTCCTTGCTGGCATCGCTCTTAGCTCATTAAAACTCTGGTTTGTGGGCGTTGAAGATCAGGACGTGTGTGTGTCGTGCTCCGTTGTATTGTTCCTTTAATCAGCTCTGACCTGACAGATCTGGCAGAGGATCAGGCCCAGAGGGGCTCCACTCCTGCCCCGTTGAAGGTGGACAGCCATGGGAGAGGGAGGCTCTCCAGGCAAGGCAGCCCTAGGCTAGTTGGGGCTGCGGTGCCCCGCAGGGACTTTCTCTTCAGAGCCAAAGAGCAACGTGGCAGCTTGCAAGAGTGGCTTGCTGTGAAAGGACCAGTAAGAAAAAAATATCACTGAAAAGCTGCCACAAGTGAAACATGTTTCCCGACATTTGAGGAAACGCAGTTGAAGGAAATTTCATTTGTTCTACTAAATGTCAGTTTTATGGAATCCAAACGTTAATTGGAGACATGAGGCTCCCATTAGCTAGGACAAAGCAGTGTCTCCCTATTACATCTGATGCCACAACTGATAAAATTACTCTTTGTGGGCCCTAATTAATCAGAATATCACTCTGTCTGCTGGAATTTGTCCTTGGGTTCATGTTGCTGCAACATTCCCCACAGCAGCGTCACACAGCCGTTCTGAGACCAGCACAGCATGCAGATCAAGAGCCCTGAAGGGCGGGTGGCATCGCCAGAAAGGTTCTGTTCCTCTTCTGGATCAAAGCATCCTCCTCCAGACTGAGGGCACAGGATTGGCAGACATTCTTTGGGGAGGTGGCTGCGGGAATAAAAAGGACCTGACCTGTGCAATACACAACCTGCCACCAGCTCCTCTCTTGGCCTGGGACTCAAAACCTGGGTGGGCATATTTCCAGAGAGGTTGGCACTTCCTTCTCTTGCCATGCCTCAGAAATACAGTGTCTCTGTCGCTTGTCCACCACCAAATCATGCCTGAACGTGGTCTCTGGTCCTCCAGCAATGTCTCCTTCCTCCATTTAAAACTTTAACCATCTCTCTACCTACCCCTTCTTTCATCAGCTGTTCTGGCAAGAGTGATGGGATGCCATGCCACTTAACTAAAGCAGGAAGTCTGCAAGAGAATGTCTATTTGCACCTGCACAAATCCTGAACCAGGGAGAATGAAGTTAGCACCGTGGTGACCCACGAGGGGTTTGCACTTCTGCCCATGCAGGACTCAGATTCTACCTGCACCAAATGCAAACTGATCGGATTGCTGGAAGAGAAAGTAGAAACCCTGACGCAGCAGCCCACAGCCTTTTGGGTGCCAGGGACTGGTTCCGTGGAGGGCGGCTTTTCCGTGGACCGGGGGAGGGCGTGGTTTTGCATGCTGTCCGGATTCTGCGCCTGCGCAGATGGGGCTTTGCTCACCTGTGTGGCCCAGTTCCTGGCAGGCCAAGGCTCAGTGCCAGCCTGCAGCCCAGGGATTGGGGGCCCCTGTCTAGAGGCAGGTCTGCCCACCCTGAATCTCCTCCATGAAAAGGCAGAAGTCTGGATCCGTATTAAATGCAGCAAGGAAGAAACAACCAGAAGGAAAAAGAATAAGGCCTAGACTCCCGGTGGCAGCATGTCACTCAGAGCAGGGGGCTCCACCCTTGGCCCCTTTAAGCCCGGAGGACTTCAGCTCCCAGAATTCCCCAGTCAGAGGCCCAAAACACCATGAAGAGGCTCCCTGCCCCATTGGGCCTGAAACGCATCTCAAGGGAAGAAGGCGCTGCTGCAGCTGCTGCAGAGGGTTTCCTCCACCACGCTCG